TTCCAGGACTTGATCGCTCTCGACAGCGACCCCTCACGGTCACACATATGCAGTGAAGACAACGGAGTTCAAGGGCCAACTCCTGACTTGAGCTATCTGTAGTTCTGGATTCGCCCAGGCTTCCGGCTCTGCGGATCTCCGGCATAGCAGGAGAACAGTGGCTGTCGTGGCGCGCGCCTTGGTTAGCATTATGCCCTTCTAAGGGAAACACTGCATGCGCAAGGTCGGGATCAAGTTTAAAAAGCATCCTCCGACCCCGCCTGGCTCGCCTTCTGGAATGTCGTCTTAGTATACGGGCCCGAGGTTCTGTTAGTGAACAGCGCTGCACGATGTGCCCACGAACAGCCGGATACCACCTACTTGCTTTCAAGAAGCTGCTTTCAGCTCTTGAAATGCTGGGCCCGGGAGTTTCAAAAGGCGCCCTCCGACGAAGAGATGATACCTTCGAACTAAGCAAGTCGGATTGCCCAGCAAACTCTGAGATTCCAGATCAGAGTTCTGCTCTTTGGCCTTCGACGTGTTTGTGCACGGTCTTATAGCTCGTCTGCGACCTGGGCGCCTGGCAAATCCCAAAGGCAGCATGCCGTGGATTCGTAGGTGGCGAAAAGCATGTGCGAACCTGTGAACTTTGGAAGCGTTGCTGGTCCAGAAGGCCGCAGCAAGCGGGTGCTCGAAACAGGTCGATCCCATTCCATTTCTCCGTAACTGAAGTAGTGGAGGAGGCAGTGTGAGGTATTTGTTTCCTTCAACTTCACAGATCTTTACAACTGAGGCTGGTTTGGGTGCGAAAAGCTTCAAGTAAGTTGGCCGATCATGATGAAAAGTCTCGGTTGAGAGCTGACATCTCCAATTGTTTGAGGTGTTTGTTGTTTCAGCTCCGGGGCTTCGGGTCATCGGTGGGCCATTTACCTCACACCGCGTGTCATCAGCCTGCTTTGGGCATGGTGTCCTCTTGCTGACAGGTCATCCCGCCAGACAGCCACACATGGCTTGGTGAGATGCGCCTTCGTGCATAAGCCATTCCGCTCCAGAGCTGCAGCTCGGTCTGGGGGATCCTTTCCCCATCTTGCCACGGCCCGGGGAAGATCCTTCAAATGCCGGTAGACAGTACAGTCTCAAGGCTTGCTTCACTGACGCAACGAAACAGTTCTGAGCATTAAAGCGAATTCTATCTCTGGCAATTCTAGTTGGGCGGCACATGCATAATCAAAACATATCTACCTGTCTATCTATCCAGCCAACTGTTTTCCGTCTAGTCTAATCTACCTATCCTCCAACTTATAAAATGGGTACATGTCACCTTCTTTGTATATAAGTGCATATACGTTGATGCAACGTTATGACTACCAGGACACC